GGAGGGGGAGGGGGGGCGCGGACGGAGGGGAGGGTCTTGAAATCGGGGAGGGGAGAGGGAGAAGGGGAGAATGCATAACCTTCATTAAGAACCTGTTAATTAGTTTGTCGCTAAATGGCTCACAAACGAGGGTAATATTTCTTGGTGTTTTTTTTGTTTGTTTTTTTTTAAGGAAGAGGGCGTTTTGAGGGAAGTCACCCGCTGCCCCGGGGGCGACCGATAAAACAACGAGAAGAAAAGCAAAGCAGGGCCCCGGCCGGGGCTGCCGGTCGCGGAGGGGTCCCGGGAGCCCCCCGGTACCGGTGCTACCCGGGGAGAGCGCGGCCGGCCCCGGGCTCCGCCGCCCGCCCCCCTCCCCGCTCTCCCCTCCGCGGGTGCGGGACACGGACCCCGCGCCGCCACCCCCCGGCCCGGGGATGGGTGAGGGCCAGCCCCGCACACAGCAGGCGGGAAGGAGGTAGGATGCGGCCGGGCCGGTCCGGGCCGCCCCCCCCCAAAAACGCTGATCCCCGGGGCCGGGAGTTACCTGGGCTTGGGGCTGCCCCCCGGGGCGAGCGGAGCGTCCCTGCGTCCCAGCCCCGGCGCTTTTAACCGGGGCTGGTGCTCTTCCAGGTAACCCCGATAAAACGACCGACCCTATGAGAGAGCAGCTTGAGGCAGCAAATGTTTGCCCTCGGTCAGTTTGAACTTTCTATTTGCCTTCCAGCCGCCGCGATAAGAGCGATCCTTTCTTCGGAGAGAAACCAGAAGAGTTGATTTTTTTTCTTTTCTTTTTTTTTTTTTTTTTTGAAAAACAGTCATCTTAGTTGTGCTTTCTCTCTCTTTTTTTTTTTTTTTTTTTTCCTTCCCCCCCCCCAAGGTTGCATTTACACCCAAAATCCTCAAAAGCAAAGCCGGGGGGGTGTTTCCCACCGCCCCGCGATGATTCGGGGACCAACACGCGTGTTTTCTGCCGCGGCGCAGTTTGGCTTTGAAATAAAACAACGCGATCCACGATTTACCCGAAAGATCCGCTTTTTTTGCAACACCGAGGGGGGGGGGCGAGAAACACCAGTGACCGATAC